TATGGGCATGTATGTTTTTTTACCTCTGGGCACAAACATAATTCCATTTAAACAATAATACAGTACTTGACAAGAAATTTTCTAGCACTTCTGCTGTGAAGTCTATATGAAATTAGGCAACTGAACTACTCATTAGGAAAATAAAATAAATTTAAAAAGCTTCATTATTACATTAGGCTGTGCATTAGCTCTCAATGAACTGAACAACCATAATAATCATATTGATGTTACCCCTCTCCTGCTCTCACCCCCACTCCTCTCTGCTATATTGCTTTCCTTTTGTTACTTCATGTTTAATTTATATTCCAGTCTTTCAAACATGTATGCATATATTTTCATTTTAAACATGTGAGTAGTCCCATTCACTTTACTGAGACTACTCATATGAGTAAAGTTAAGCATGTATATAAGCGTTTGCAGGATCAGAACCTTAGTTGATAAGCACCTTGGGGCAGGGATCATACATTCTGTCTGATTTGAAGACATCTAGCATACCATTAAATTAAATAATAATAATACAATTTCATAACTTGCTGGAGATCTATGTCTTGGTCTTTTAGCCTAGCTAATCATTAACTGCTAGACAATATCTAACATTGAAGTAATGATTTATTTTATAAGTGATTTATATTGAAAAGGGGCATAGGTTAAAATAATATATTTTAAAAAATGCCCTTTTCCATGTAACTAATATTTTAGAGGATTAAAAGTGAAATAATTTTAAACAATCTAAATTGCTATTCCCAGTCAATACTGTTAGCTCGCTTTTTGTACTTCACTTTGGACAATGAAAATTAGTCAACCCTTCAAACAGCTCACTGATGGATGGCTGACTTGGGACATCAGAGGTGTATCTTCTGCTTCAATTCCATGAATATCTCATTGGACAGTGGGATTGTGACATCAGAGGTAAGTCAACCAACCATCACTCTTCTCTCCTTTTGTCTCACTCTCCCCAGTGAGATTGTGATAGCAGAGATAACAAGACAACATCTTCCTTTCTCTTCTCTTTTCTATATTCTTTATCCTTCTCTAGCTCTTCCCTTAATACATTTGCATAGTGATCAGCCTGCATGCCTCATTTGCCTGCTTCTTCCACAGCCATCTCAGGTCTTTCTTCCATAGCCCTCTCTATGCCTGGATTGCCCTTCCTGAGCTGGTTCACCAAGCCACTTCTCCTAATTTAGATCTAGTCTTCCTCATTCTGTCCATTTATCAGAAAAAAAATTGTTCCAGCATGCTGTGCAATAGTTTTACTGAGCAACTGTGATGTTGTCCCTATTCACCAAGTCAGTGCATAAAGGCCACCAAATAGTAAATAGTAAGTTTTGGTCATTACCAACTTGGATCTGATTTGAAATAGTTGCCTAGAGATGCCATTCTGCCCTTTTTGAAAAAAGAAGTGTATAAAGCTAAACTGTTGTCTGTCTGCATGTGCTCTACTGGCAGTTGGGTTCAGAAACTTTGGGTCACATGCTGTCCTCCTAGGAATAAGTCCATGGGAGTGTAAAACATGCCCCAAACTCTGATTTAGCACCCACAGAGTTAAAGGGACATCTTAGCCTTTGGGGAAGGATGTGGGTCAGGGCAAGGGAAAATGGGTGCTTGTAAAACCAATAGATCCATTAGAAGTGGGTTGTAGCCCACGAAAGCTTATGCTCTAATAAATTTGTTAGTCTCTAAGGTGCCACAAGTACTCCTGTTATTTTTGCGGATACAGACTAACACGGCTGCTACTTGAAACCTGATACTCAGACTGAAGCTCCAGAGCTTCAAGTGGTTCTTTTATGTGTCTCCTGCAGCTCCTTGCAGCACATGATATTAAAACACTGTGTGATTGGTTAATAATTAAATCAGGATGCTTTTACTGCATTGTTAACCAATTGCAGTTGATAAAATAATAATATTTGGTCAGTCATTTTGCTGTGAGAATTATATATATGAATAGTAAATGAAACAATGAATTCACTCTACTATGGCTCTTTTGGGTAACGTTGATTGCTAATTTGGCTCCTGAACCACTGAGATCTGAGTATCACCACATTAGAACTACTGGGAAATCTATGCAGACCCACCAGGATCTTGGCCCATCCCTGTAGTAGACCATTTAGGGCCAGAATTCCCTTCCCTTTAGCAGTATATAGCTGTTAGCCAATGAGAGCACAGTTTGACTCTTGCACTTTACTCTCTTTTCAGAGAGTGGTTTCAGATACAGAAGAGAATCACACAGAGACAATTCCTATGTACATTTCTGCTGGAAAATCCATGCCCTACAAAGGGCAGCATATTATGTCCATTCCCTTTTAGACCTCATAGATCTTGTGCAAACCAGTTTAGGAGGCAGGGGGCACATGTTTTGGAGATACAGATTACCGGTACTCTCTTTTTACACAATGAAAGCTTTTCTCCCCGTTTTTACTCCCTTCCACATCCCGTAACACCAAGAAGCATATGGCTCTTTATTTTTATATACATTACATTTTATTACTGCTCATAAGTGCTTATCTTTTTTAACTTTCTTGGGGCTGAGCAAAATGGATAGTTTTTTAAGTAATATGAAATTTAGTGGAACAACATTGTGTGTCACAGATTAAAACCAAGTAATATTTATCTCTATTTTTAATCCCATTCATTGCTGTTTGTATCCAAATTCTCCAATAAATGTCCCAAATCTGTATGATACAGTACATCTGTCCTGTCTCTGTTACCATTTGCATGTGAATAGCTGAATTAGTTGAAAGATAAGTAAAATCACCTCCCAATTGACTACACATCTATAGAGACTTGAGAATGCTAGTAATTACCTCCAACGTGTGGAATAAATTACACTTAAAAAGTGTGCTCTAGATATTTTGCAGGTGGAAAAATAGATATAATTTTTGTGAATGCAGTGCCAAAATCTCCCACACCCTGTTTTTAAGCTATTCCATTGCAATAACAGTACACATAGTTCTGTGTTAGCACACTTTCTGAAGGATAACAGGTTTCTGGCAGAACAATAGTTTAATGCAGAGGCTACTCTAAATTATAATAATAATAATTAATATAAATATAATTAGGAAAGCACACATTCTTCCATTTCTTGGATCTTTAATGTGAAGATCTCAAAACAGAATCTGGCTCAATAGAATAGCATTCAACTTGATTTAAATGGACAATTGATTTGTTTCTTATGCTACTCTGCTCTCCCAAATACACACACATACTGATTCTTTGGTGAAGGCACACCGATTGTGGAAGTCTGCCATTCCAAGTGCAAATCTACTCTTTATTGTTCGTGAACAGGAAAATGCTGTCTGATGTAAGGCCATAAAACATATTTCATTCTTCCAAATGTTGAAGATTTGCAGTGTGGTTCTCAGGGATGAATTTGGTTCTTGAAATAGACTTATTAAAAGCTCGGTTTTGTTTCATTTAAACCTGTACATGTATAAAATGAATGGAGAAGATGGAAGTTTACACATGAGCCCTTGTTTTCTAGCCCCTTCATAACAGAAGTCTTTCATTTACATGTACGGAATCAAAGACTATGAGTTTTCAAACTTTTTCATATTGTAGACCACAATTTAGAGAGATTGTTACATGGAGGATATTACATACATTTTCAATTGTGGATCACCTCCTGTCTCATTCAGGCTCCTGTGACTTTCCAATGGCAACTACAATAATTGTGTATATAGGGAAGTAATATTAAGAAAATAATTAGCTATTTTAGCTGTCTTTAAGTGCAGTAGGATCTTGTCCTTTCTGAAGAGAGTTAATCACAGGTTTACTTTTGCTCTTCATTTCATTTCCCCCTCCCATCTGCTCTGTTTTGGGTTTTTTTTTCCTGGTGGAAATAGGGAGGAGATCCATTAACACTGTGACTAGAAGTGCTTTGCAGACCACTAGTGGTCCAGTGACTACAGGTGTGTGTGTGTGTGTGGGCTCTGTTATATCCTGTCTGCTTAATCTGTGATCCATTACCTGTGTGTCTGAGCTCAGTTTTAAGCATCAAAGGCACAAGGGAGGAAAGTTTTGCAGAAAATTTTCTTTGCTACGAGAGGCAATTTCACAGTGTTCAGAAAGCCACCAGCAAAGAGTTCTGATACTTTTCAGACAGCAAGTCAGTCAAGTCCTGTCTGGAACACTTTTTGAATGAGCTGATCCCTTTACTCTCAGTCTCAGGAGATCACAGTTTAGGTTAGGGAGATAAATCCTGAAATCCGTTGGTGAAGTTAGAGCGACTTCAGGGCAATTGAAGTGCCAGGCAGCGGGAGCAAAGACAGCAGCTGCTGCTCGCTTACTCGGTCCTGCGGACATACACATAATTGACCAGAATTCATCCTTTGGGAAATATTCTTGCCGGATCATCCAGGCTGGGCGTGAATGGGCGATCTGCTAGCGGAACAAGGTAGAATACGCCCATTTTAAAAAAAGCCCCAACAAGGGTTTGTTTATCAAAATGAAATTGCATCTCTTATGCGTAATAAAGGCTACTTTGTTGTCTTGCTGCGCCTTAAAGGCGCCTTGAACTGAAACAAGCGAGAGTGTCTCCACGGGGGAAAAGAGGCGAGGAGACCGGCTGGGGAGGGAATGGCGGTATCGGGTGGGTCCTGAGGAAACTCCTCGCCTGCACGTCTTTGACCTGCCCCTTCCCCAGTTGAAAACATCCTCCTCCTCCCGGCGCGGAGCAAGTGATTAGCTGGAGCCCTCCCGCCTCCCGAGTTAAAGCTTCTCCGCGGGAGGGGCGAGGGCTGGGCAGAGGGAGGCGGGTTCACCGCGTTGCTACAACTAAGAAGTGCCCCCTTCGCGCAGTCGTGGCGTCCCTGGCATCCGAGCACAGCAAACGTCAGTTTGTTTAACAATCGCGGAGTATAAATGCTCAAATTAGCGAGGCGGCTGCAGGAGGAAGCAGCGCTGAGCCTTGGCCGGAGGCGGTGGCACCAGCAGCCGCGGGGATCCTCTCGCTGACCTCTCCCTGGTTAGTGCCCTGGGGCTGCTGATGTAGAGTACCCAGGGGGAGGATCCATCTATGCTGTTAGTCCCGTAGGAAAAGAAACAACAGCTTCCCCTTCCCCTCGCTAACCCAGCCCCAGCCACGGTCAACCTCGGCTCTCCGTCGCTGTGTGACCATGGCCGACAGCTTGCGGAGATTAATCAACAACGAGAGCTGCAGGATTTTGCAGGAGAAGCTGGAGAACTGGTATAAAGATTACCACGTGAGTATGTGTGTGATTCCTCACAAACGTCTTCTCTTCGTTCGCCGCCGCGAGCCTGTAAAGCGATTCGATTCACGGGGGGTGTCTACTTTTGTGTTTTCAAAGGGACTTTGTAGAGTGAGACAAGTCAGGAATTAACATTTCTATTTTGTCAAATTAATGGGGGAAGAATACACAGTATAATAGTGGGTGTTTCAGAGTGTACATTTGGGCTACTGGAGAAAGACTGGATTTGTGTGAAGGGGGCTCCGCTAAGTGTTGGATACCTCGAGTGATTTCCCGGGAAAGCAGTAACCAAGGACGCTGGTTCCAGACAGTGTTGTGGTTGCTATAGTTACTGACACCCATTGACACTATAAATGCAACATATCAGGCCAGAAACAACTTGCAGCAGAGACTGCTGATTTCCCTCTCATCTCCTCTTGGTGTTCTGATACACAGATCTGATCAGATTAAAGTAAAAATCAGTTGCCAAAATGCAAGTTCACATCTCTTTGCAAACTCACCAGGGCCACTTACACTCTTTCACAGTGAATAATACTCCATCAAAAATATGTTTTCCCAGAAAGGATAACAGTGGCCTCCATTTGATTTTATAACTTTTTATATGTGTAAATATTTTTGAAAACACTTTGTGTTAGATATCCAAGCACAATAGCTGCACTGGAAAGTGCTGCGTATCATAAACTTCAAGGAATATAAGAAGACCTTTAAATACAGAGAAAAGTTAGACAAGAACTATTTTATTGCTTGCAACCGACTGTGCACCAAGATAATATAGCTTGTTCTGCTAAGGTTCTCAAGGGCCTCTGGTGAGAATCTCCCCATCTCCAGTTGCTGCGGTGGAAATGGAATATGATTTTTTTTTTTAGTTGTCTTTAAAATTTCTAGATATTTTTCACTGTACCTGATTATAGTGTCACACATTTGAGGCATATCAGTTTGAGAACTATGAATTCACATTTAAAAAAAAATCAGACCCATTAATAATTGTTAGAAATTCAAAACTAGAACAAATGACTTGTTTTCTGAAAGCAAATTCAGTTTACAGCTATTTCATGTTTGAAACATTTTTGTTAAACTGCTTTTGTTGTATAACTGAAAAGATACTGCAATTATAACTTAGTACCAAAATGAAGTTATACCTTGCAGATAACATAACTATTGAACATGGTACTGAATGGTCTTTGTAGCTGTTCTATTAAATGTTACCTGTGGTACTATGACAAGTTTTGCGTGTGGGTGGGGGAAAATAAGATAAACCACAAGAAACAGTTGTTTTGTTGACCTGCATGGCTTTTTCTTTTTTCTTCTTATAACTTCTTTTTATTTTTATCTTGAATGAAGCCATAATATTTGTGGTTTTATTTTATTTCAGTATTGTGCATTCTATTTTATTATAGTATTGTCTGTTCAGTGCTCTGCCTGCCTTGTCTGTCTGAGAATGGAGTGACTTAGAGGGTTGCTTTATTTTATTTTATTAGTACAGAACTGTTATTACTCCATAGTGTTTGAAAGCTGACTCCGTAAAATAAACACAGCTGACTGAAGTAGCTTACTTTGGGGGGCAAGGGATTTGACTTGGTCTCTGGTCACTTAAAGTGTGTGCAATTTCTTTTATCAAATAGAAACAATTAACCTAAAATATGTTACACATCAGCAGAAGAGCAAAGAAACCACTAATCAAGCTCAAATATTGAAATACAGAAGTTTTTGCCCTTAATGTACTGCAACATCTGATCTTGCAACATTACAAGATATTCTAATTGTAAAGTTACATATGTTACCCAAACTAAGAGGAATATGTGTGCCTGAGTAAAGGTGGTGTGACTAAGGCCTGGTCCACACTAACCCCCCACTTCGAACTAAGATACGCAACTTCAGCTACGTTAATAACGTAGCTGAAGTCGAAGTACCTTAGTTCGAACTTACCGTGGGTCCAGACGCGGCAGGCAGGCTCCCCCGTCGACTCCACATACTCCTCTCGCGGAGCAGGAGTACCGGCGTCGACGGCGAGCACTTCCGGGATCAATCCCAGAAGATCGATTGCTTACCGCCGGACCCGGAGGTAAGTATAGACGTACCCATAGTAGATTTGAACAATTGCTCTCCTAACTGGCTTAAATCTCCCAAACTGTTGACTGGCTGGCTGGCTTGTCATTGGCAGAAATGGAGCAATTAAAACTATGATATAAACTACAGAAACCTTAGCAGATAGTAACTGCTGTTTGTAGCACATTTGAGATAAAAACACATTTTCAAGGAAAAAGTCAATATAGGGTGAAATACATTTTCCTCGCTGCTAGTGTTCTATATTCTAATCTCTGGTCTATTTGTCTGAAAACCATTTATTTATAATTTGTTTGGGGGAGGAAATATTTATACATACACCTCTACCCCGATATAACACGACCCGATATAACACGAATTCGGATATAACGCAGTAAAGCAGTACTCCGGGGGGCGGCGGGGGGGAGAGGAGGGGTGGGGCTGCGCACTCCGGTGGATCAAAGCAAGTTCGATATAACGTGGTTTCACCTATAACATGGTAAGATTTTTTGGCTCCCGAGGACAGCGTTATATCGGGGTAGAGGTGTACCATAATTTAGTGCTTACGTACCAAAGTGATATATATGAGTTTAAAACAGATAAATGCATGGTGTGGTACAGACATTAAAAAGGCAAATTAGACAAACATAGAACATGAAAGTAAGACAAAGGAGGTGGACAGAGAAAGTAGGGCTGAGAGTTAAAACAAATACAAATAACATGAATTATTATAGATTTTTTTGTAAGGTCTAATATTTTAAAATATAGACTTGAGAAAAGAGGGAAGAAGCAGATAGCTCATGAGTTAACAGTGAAAAAGCAACATCAAAGAGATTATAGCATGATTTTGAGATAGATTTGAAGGAGGAGAGTGAGGATACTTGGTGCACAGGAAGTAGGATGTCATTCCAGGTGCTGGAAATTGTTCATTATGACTGAGCCCAGATAATGTGCTCAATACAGAACACAAAAATGAAGACAATCCCTGCCCCAAAAATGTGCAAATCTTAGACAGATGCAGAGAAGTAATGTTGCTTTGGAAAACCCAAAGAAGAGGGTGAATTCCCCCCCGTCCCCATTTAATTAATAACTTACTTTTTTGTGGGCCTTATCGAAGGAAATGAGTTTTTAGGAGTTTGGGGAAATGCTACAGGGTAGTAGATTGATGAATCATGATTGGGAAGATATTCAATGCATAGGGGGCTGTGTGAAAAAAGATATGGAAATAGTTGCAGGAGACCAATGAGGCTGGTGTGGTTGGCAGAACAGAGGATGGGTGGGCATATTTTAAGAGACAAGGCCGAGATGTATATTGCAATAGATTTGAAGGAAAGAATGAGAAATTCAAACTTAAGGTGGTGGACAAGTTGAGGACACTGAGGAAGAGGAAGGCTGCTGAGGGAATCAAAATCAAAGAAGGAGAAGGGAGGATTTGGGTAGGGGACAATAACATCCACATAGAGGAAGAGGGGGTGAATAGAGTCTAACAATGCAGTGTGAAGAAGGCAGTGAAGTTGGCAGGGAGTGAAGTTGGAAGGCAAGGAGGGAGGGCTGGAAGTAGGAGGAATATGAAAATAGGATGACCATGCATTAGAACTTCTCTAAATGGTATGCCAAACAATCTTTCTGGGCCATTTCTGAGTGGGATGTGTTAGAGAAAGAGAGACCACCATGAGGGAGTGCAGTTTTGGAGGGAGGTTTAGAAGGAGAGATCCAGGTTTCAATCAGAACAGAAATGGAGCAGGAGAAGAATGAAGAGGGGCAGTGTGAGAGGACAGACAGAGGAGATAATGGGAGGAGGAAGAGAGAGCGGATAGGGAGAGGAGAGTGGGTAAAGTACAGCGTCAAGGTGGGGAGCAAAGGGGAGATGAGATTTAGATAAAAGGCAGAGCTATGAAGAGCCTTAAAAGTGAGGACAATTTGTTTGAACTTTCCCTAAAGATGCTGTCATTGCAAGATTCTTATTCCTGGGCCTTAGCTTTTTAACATGGGACTGGCAGAGATCCCAGGCATTTAAGGATTTTTAACCCTTGAGGGGAGTGACAGTGGATAGTAGAAAAATATACAAAGATCATGTACCTTCTGAGCTGAGAATAAATGCAGCCCTTTGAACACTAGCCAGTTCCTTTTTGACCTTGGTCACTGAAGGAGCTCCCTACAGAAGATTACACCTCATTAGCCATTGCTCCAGCTCCTTTGAAATCCCAACAGTCTCCAGGGATCTTTTACCATACCTTCTCTGACTTCCTGTCAGGTCTTGTTCATTGGTGCTATGTATTGAGGCTCTTGCCTTGACCACTTCAACACACATCTGTTGATCTTCTACTCCCACTTTGTGTGCCTGTTTTTTCTCAGCTTTTGGCACTTGCCTCTGTGCATAGGTGCAGAGAAAGTTTTGATGTTTGCCATTTTTTTGCTTTGATGTTCTCAGTGCCTCAGCACTTTCTAAACAACACCTGGGTTCCTTTTTCCTTGGTGCCTCAGCATCAGCACTGTTCTTTGAGCACCAACACCTCAGTTAGGGTGCCACCGTTTTTCATTAGGGTACCTAGCAACTTTCATGGTGCTTGTTTTTTCCACTTGTTCCTTCACTTCCTTCAACACACACCCATGTTGGTAAGTATGGCATCTAAAATGGGAGGAAACTGTTTGTTGTGCTGACAAAGTTTGAAACCACGATGTCAAAGACTGACAATTTGTATATCTGTTATGTTGACAATGATGTGCAGGGGTGCCAGACTGCCTGCATGTGTCACCACATGCCCTGATGTGGAGAGTGTCTCTAAGTCTTCCTGGAGGTACCCAATAGAGACTCCTGTAAGTCTGGCATGACGCTGGCTAGGATGGAGTGATTCAAAGGGTAAATCCTTGAAGCTAAAGCTGAGTTTTTCTACAACTGCTCAACACTGGAACACGGTGCCAGGGATAGCTGCGTTTGCTCAGACCTGCTCCTCACTCCAGTAATCCCAGTCAGACAGCTTCAACGCAGAAGTCTCCTGCAGCATCATCACCAGTGTAGCCAAAGGATGAGGCGGTACTGAGTTCAGGCTAATGGGATGGGACAGAACCTCTACGCAGGAGTCTGAGACAAGGCACCACAACAGTCAGCAGTTCCCTGACATGCCTTTGCCAAAGCCCCTGACTCGTGATTGCTCCACATCAAGACCTCTGTATTTTTTCACTCCTGCATTCAGATGCATGAAGAGGAGAAGGAGGTCATGATTCCAGGTATCCATGTATGTTTGGCAATCTGGTCTGATCACTTCTGGCTTCAAAGCATTCTTTGTCTTGGTTATTGGGTGCAAGAAATTTCAGTACAGTTGGAACTCTGTTTGCACCAAAATCTACTCTTGCATCCCAAGAGTCAGTGCTCCTTGGGCAAGTAGCTCTGGCCTTTACACTGACACCTCTTGCATTGGGAACTCTAGTGCCACCAGTGTCCATACTTCCCAGAACCCTGATGATACTCCAGGCTTCCTGATTACCTGAATAGTTCCAGCTATTGGGGCAGAATCAAGCTGAGGATCAGGGTGATGAGGGCTGGTCTTTGCATTTAGATTAGAGGACTCTCCTGATGCCAAATACATCTCCACTATGAGAATACCAAGACAGTGACTTTTTTCTCAACTTTTACAGAAGTTTTCCATGACCACTGATTATTTCTGACCTGGTTTTAACTGAAAAATATACAAAGATCATGGTTAGGTGGTAACTAGACAGGAAACCACATCCATCAAGTAGTGTTGCTGTACCCTTGCACCCTATTTTTGACAAGTTAGTGATAAAGCTGTGGCAGATCCCTTACAGAGCTGTCCCAGCCTTGAAGAAAGTTAAGTAAAAAGTACACCCTTCCCTAAGACTGCCCCAGGCTATATCTTCCCCACTCCTACCCTCATGCCACCTGGAGCTTGGTGATGGAGGCTGGACACATTTATGGTATTGTACCCAGAATCCTCAGCTGCAGTGCTGGGATTCATTTAGAGAGAAGGTTTATCAGTGTGACTGCAATCCTCCAAGTCATGCACTACCAGTCCTTCATGACCAAGAGTCAGGAGGAACAATGGAAGAAGCCTCTATTTTGGTTGATTTTTCTTCCTCAATAGAAATGCCAGAAGCTTAAGAAGCTGATCATAAGGGCATCAGGTATTGGCAACTTTTGATGCAGATGATGCAATGGTGAGGGCCACTTATTTCAATAGTGGATGCCTGGAGATCCAGAGAGCTTAAGGACCTGTCTTACTTTATAGACAACTTGTTTGGGAGAAGATAGCAGCTTCTATACAGAAGGCAAAGGAGACGGAGGCCACACTGCATTATCTTGGGCCTTTGTCTTGTTCTTTGGGTCCCTCTTTCGAGGGAGGGAACTTAAAGTCGCCATTTCAAAGGCTGGCTTTCATGTCAAGAGCTAGCTTTAAGGGAGCTCAGTACCCACCATGCACTTGGTGTTTGGCCTCAGCACCCCAAGAAGCTAAAGGTCCTAAGCTGCCTTTCAGCAAACACCAAAAACTGAAGGATTTGAAAGGTTAATTAAAATCAAGAACATTTCAGTTATCATAAAAATCCATATAATCAATTTTGGTAATTAATTCAGCTGACTGGTGTCCAACTTTTAATTTCGGTTCACAGACCCCTACCCCAATCTCCTACCTCCACGCTAATTGCCATGGAGATGGGAAACCTGCACGACAGAACTTATGGATATGAACATGGAGAATTTTAGGCAACATTCATATCTACAGTCATACCACCCCAAGGCGACGTCTTATCAGATCTGAAAATATAAGTTGGATCAGTCCAGGTAATTAATTGGTTGGGAAACGCCTGGAGAAAGCCCTTGCACTATAAAAAGGGAGTATTCTCCTTTGAATGATTGTGCACACATACATTCTACGGCAGGTGTAGGGTGCAGCTTGCATGCATTGGGCACGCATACACCTGCAGAGGAATGTATATATGTGCAACACATCTCAAAGAATAACAGTTAATACAGGGCTCGGCAACCTTTCGGAAGTGGTGTGCTGAGTCTTCATTTATTCACTCTAATTTAAGGTTTCGCGTGCCAGTAATACATTTTAATGTTTTTAGAAGGTCTCTTTCTATAAGTCTATAATATATAACTAAACTATTGTTGTATGTAAAGTAAATAAGGTTTTAAAAATGTTTAAGAAGCTTCATTTAAAATTAAATTAAAATGCAGAGCCCCCCGGACGGGTGGCCAGGACCTGGGCAGTGTGAGTGCCACTGAAAATCAGCTCGTGTGCCGCCTTCGGCACACGTGCCATAGGTTGCCTACCCCTGAGTTAATACATAGGTGAGTAACCATTTTTTTCTAGTACATTGTAGTCAACTTTCTGAGGCAGTACTGTACCAGTACACCAGTATAATGTTAGGGGCACTGTACTCCTGGAGGTACAGTTATTTCAGATGTGATATGTAAACAGAAATTCTGACCACTTGTCATTGTCAGTAAAGACGTTTTAGAGCTCTTCCTGACAGATGTAGAATTAGCAGTAATGTCCTGGACAAATTCCAACTCCAGTAATTTCATGAGATAGCTGATAGCTTTCCGTAATTTTTTTTCTGCTTTTTGTATCAAGAACATAATGCTAGTTTCTTCCTGTTCTTGAACACTGTTTGTTTCAATATGTATTAAAAACAGATAAAATCACATGTAAGCTATGTGTAAATATTGACGGTGCAACAAAGTAACCTTATAAGTGTGGTTTATTTCAGCTAGTCTGTAGAAATATATTTTGCACTTATATTGGACTTTTCATCCAATGATTTTATATCACCTTTTAAACATTAATGAAGTTTCATGCCACTTCGATGAGGTAGGTAAGTGTTATTCCATCTATTTTATTAATGGGGAAAGCTGAGGCATAGAGAGGCTGAATGATTTCTTTCACCTAGTAAGTCAATGATAGAGTTGAAATTAGGACCTTGAATTCCTGACTCCCAGCCCTTTGGTGTAACTGTTAACATCATGTGTTATTTTTTCACCACTTGGAAGTATCTGAACATTCCAATGGCGGTCTAGGAAGCTGTAATGAAGTCATAGACACAATTATAGAAAAAGCTCTTATATCGTGTTCAGTGTACATCATAAACATAATTATTTAGAAAAGTCAAAACAAAATAAAACTAAAACCCCAAACATATGTTTTAATTCTTCTGATTTACAGATTAACTCATGTGATCAGAATCTGAACCGATGTTGTGAAATCATAGAAATGAACTCCATGATTCAGGGGCAACTCTTCACAATCCTCAATCAAACTGCTCGAGAAGGTGAGAATTTTCCATGTCTCTATGGTTTGTACATATCACCTCCATTTTCTTTATAAGTGCAGACTAAGGATTTATCTCTGCATTTTTCTCACATATACCTGGTTTATGTATTCTCTTAGGTGGGCATTATGCAGGTGTAGAGACAATAAAATCTCGTCTCCTGCCATGGCTGGGGACTTGTTTTTCCAGTACTACTTCGGGAAGGCCCTTTGAAACCAGTCTTTCTCTGATTCAGGTATGCTGAATGTTTATTTTTAAGATGATAAAAATATATAAATCAAAGACTTCCTGCAATTAAAAATCAATGTTGTTTTTTTTTTTTTTACTAACTAAAACAGTGTTTTCTCACCGTTTGCCTTCTGAACTATTTCCATCATTGTTAACTTGGACAGTTATGTCATTTAAAAAAAAAAAAGCTTTAAAAGGGGAATGAAAGAAGTCATTGAAGTTAATTTGACTAAATTAGCTTAGCAAGCCTAAGATCTTTTATCTTGTCCAAGAAACTAGTTTCTTATATACATTTTTACATCAAGGTAAAGAAATTTGCTAATTATAAGTTTGCTGTGATATCACCCTAAGACTTTATGCCAGGGGTTGGCAACCTTTCAGAAGTGGTGTGCCGAGTCTTCATTTATTCACTCTAATTTAAGGTTTCGCGTGCCAGTAATACATTTTAATGTTTTTAGAAGGTCTCTTTCTATAAGTCTATAATATATAACTAAACTATTGTTGTATGTAAAGTAAATAAGGTTTTAAAAATGTTTAAGAAGCTTCATTTAAAATTAAATTAAAATGCAGAGCCCCCCGGACCGGTGGCCAGGACCCGGGCAGCGAGAGTGCCACTGAAAATCAGCTCGTGTGCCGCTTTTGGCACGCGTGCCATAGGTTGCCTACCCCTGCTTTACGCCATACCTGTATTGTAAGCAACTTAGTGTTTTGTGAAACTCTTCATATGAACTGAGGGGCGCGCATAAGGTCCCATGCCCTCTAACTGTTAGTTTTTGTTCTTCTGAAGGTTGGGCTCTAATACATGTGTTGTGAGAAATTTTTTTACAGGAAATAAATATAAATCATGATACCACCATGCACCTAACTTTGAGGACTAGGATAGCAGTGGTGTGTGTTCCTTTTCTCTTCCACTGCATGGTTCATAAGATTTACAGAAGGTGCTGTTTACAATACTTCAGCTGGAGATGCAGATCTTCTGTGGCACTCTTGTATGTTTTGGGAGAAAACAGTAGTGTTAGCTAGTGGGGAGATGAGAGCAAATGTCTTCATGATCTCCCTGATTTCTCACTTTACATTCCGCGCCCCCCCCCCCCAAATCACTGTTTACAGTTTAAATAAGCTATTTCCCCTAGGTAAAATGACATCTGACCATATGGACTAGGATTAATCTGGCTAGGGTCTGTACTTGGTACAGGGAATAGAGCAGTTTTCTCTTAATTTGTTTTTACAAATGACAACATTTAAAAAGGTGTAGTGAAAGAAATAATCTATGTGATAATTTATGGGTTTTCAACTGCATGTGCAAATGAAAGGAAAGCCTTCAAACAGAGAATTGAAACCCAGCGCACAATTACTAGTTTATTTACAGTTTTATAAGGGTGTGCAATGTGGTATTAAAAGCAGAGTTGCTTGTGCAAGGGTGTATCCTTTTCAGTTATACTAGTTGCTTAATTTGCTCTTATGATTTCCCCCCATTATTTTGCATGCCCAGTAATGTGTAAAAAGTTAATTAATACAGGAAGAATTGTTGGCATATTTAGTTCTAAGAGTTGACTAGAAAGGAAAAAATATGGACAAAAAGTAGTGTGTGTATATTTGTGTGCATATCCATATGTATATCTATCTAATATCTATCTATCTTACAATGAAATAGTAAAGCACCACTATATGTAACTTTTCCCACAGTGTAATTTAATCTCTCTCTGGCTGCTTTGTGCTCTCTCTCTATTTGAACAAGTACAATGTTTTCTTTGTTTAAGATCAATTTAGAATTATTCTTTACTGCATCATTTCAGAAATGCACAGCCTGTCATGAGACATTCTAAGGCAGTGGTTTTCAACCTTTTTTTCATTTGTGGACCCCAAAACATTTTGAATGGAGGTGCGACCCCTTTGGAAATCTTAGACTTAGTCTGCAGACCCCAAGTTGAAAACTACCATTCTATGGTAATGACAACTTTCCACAGACTCCTTAGACATAGTCTGCGCACCCTCAGGGGTTTGCGGACCATGGGTTGAAAACCACTGTTCTAAAGAAATGTTGTATAACTTTCGGGCATAACATTCAAAAAGTGTGATATTTGTATTTCACTGTAGGAGTCAATTGAGAAAGAAAGGCAGCTGAGGGAATTTGCCAGCACTCGGAACCATGAACTACAACAGTTGGAGAAAGAACTGAACTCAACTCGTTTACAACTCACCTTAGTGCAACAAGAGTAGGAGAATTAACTGTGTATTTTTTCAATAACAAATTCATTTTTCTTCTCACACCTCACTTCTAATAGAGATTTGCAAAATGTTTCATTTCTGCTTTGAAATAAGAATTTAAAATGTATCTAGACTCTGGATTTTCTGAATTTGAATGATGTGGGACTGTATACCCAAGGCATTAAAAGTCTTCTAGTAAGTAACTTAAATCTTGGTTGGTTGGTTTGTTTGTAAAATTAAAATAATTTTTAAAATCATCGGCTGCCTGAAAGACAATAGGCCTGGCAGAAATTAAACATTTTGCCCCAAAAACTTTTGATCATAATACCAGTATCTTATTTAATACAGATTCTGTACTGCAAGTTGCACAGAGGGAAATTTTCATGCCACGTATGACATTTGGCACATTTTGGATATATCCAAATATGGTTTTTTGTTTGCAGTGTTGTTGTAGTTGTGTTGGTCTCAGGATATGCGAGACACAAGGTAAGTATGGTAATATCTTTTATTGGACCAACTTCTGTTGGTGGAAGTAAACTTTCGAACTACACAGAGTTCTCCAGGTCTGGAGAAAGAAATCAGAGTACCTGAGCTAAATATAAGTTGAGACAGATAATTAAGCAGATCCACAGGATCTCTGCTGTGTCCCAGCTTTTAAATAGTCTTTTGGAGGAACCACTCTGGTGTGACAGACCTCCAGGGAGCCCTTCTTTTTAGCTTCAGGGTAGGCCACCCAGCCTCACCGTCTTCTAGACTGAACCTCTGGGCTCCAGCACTCCTGCTTCATATTGTGAGATTTGTCTACTGAGTCCAATTGAGATAGACTCGTAGTAGAGACTTGTACACTCTTCAGGGACTAATGCACCTCAGCAAGTATTTGCAGTGACTTCAAAGCACAGTAGGATTTATTACACAGCATTGGAAGTCCTTAGGCTAGCATAGTGAAATAAAGGTTCAAGCATAGTTCATTCTGGTCAAGCCAGAGTAAACCACTAGTCAAACTGTAGTGGATTCCATCTTAGGCTCTGTCTCTTTCTGACACCTTAAGAGAGCTTAGCTATCTGTCCCTACTTCTATTTAGTTTAGACATTCTGATTTCTTTCCACAGACGTGAAGAACTTGGTATAGTTCGAAAGCTTGTACCTTCCACCAATTATAACAGGGTTCAAAAAGAACTAGATAAGTTCATGGAGGATAGGTCCATCAATGGCTATTAGCTAAGATGGTTTGGGATGCAAACCTAGCCTCTACTTACCAGAAGCTGGGAGTGGATGACAGGCGATGGATCACTCGCTGATTCCCTGTTCTGTTCATTCCCTCTGAAGCATCTGACATTGGCCACTGTCAGAAGAGAAGATACTGGGCTAGATGGACCATTGGCCTGATCCAGTATGGCCGTTTTTATGTTCTAACAGAAGTTGGTCCAATAAAAGATCTCATATTACCTACCTTGTCTCTCTCATAATCCAAAATATGACATTTCATAGAAAAGATATGGTTGAAAAGAATGCCCAATATTCTTATCCTTCCAACTACTTATAAATATGCTTCTCAACAGCTAGGAACAGGTAGGTCTAGCTAGCAATCAGAGGTATGACTGCAGCATGTGTAGATGTACCAGAGCTAGTTTTGATCTAGCTAGCTTGAATAACAACAGCAGTGAAGCATAGTTTATACAAACCCATCTGGAACCCTGGATATCTACTATTGAGCAGCTAGCTTGTGCTTCTGCTCATGGTGCCACAACTTCATTGCTGTCATTATTAGAGGTAGCCAGATCAAAGTTAGCTCAGGTACGTCTACACGTGCTGTAATCACACCTCTGACTGCAATGTAGTCATACCCAAAGAAAGGGAGAAAAACCTTGCATAATTGTGATCTTTATCTATTAGAAAGATTTCTGTCTTCCTTAAGTATTGAATGAGGCTGCTCCTGTGCATCCAGTGAGCTATAGCATGCAAGCACTCTTCTGGTGTAGATGCTGAGGTAGCGGGTTCTGCAGGGCAAGAGATGTATAGTTATATATCAGCACACTAATACTCTAGTGTTCAGAAATTATGACTGCAATCCTGCTCCCACTGAAGTCAGTTCCAAAACTCCCATTGATTTCAATGGGATCAGGATATGGTCCTGTCTCACCCAGGGCCTCCTTGTATGTATCAAACAGCATATGAGTAGCAAAATAGATGCTTGAGGGACACCATATATTAGTTCCATTAGTAATGACATGTAACCGTCTATTACCTCCAGTTGTCTCCTGCTTGTGAGTGGGGGACAGTCATAACAGTAACATATTTGGATAATTAAATTAGGCAAATAAATAAACGTAGTAAATGAAGATTAATATCTTAGTGTTAGCTAAAACTAAGCTATTATATTTGGTATATTATTTAAAAAGAAAACAGCAATGAGATGTGTGCAGGAACAGCGATATATTTCCTGTAATGTTTTCATTGTTGTCATAGGCAACTAAAACTTTAAAAATGGCTGCTAGGAGTGAAACTCTCTGCGCATTTACGTTTTAACCGCTTAAAAGATTTTGTTCCCTTTAACTTGAAAGTCTATATTTCACTATAAGTTGTGCTCAAATAGCCATTTTCAAGAAGAAAACCCTCAATATTAAAAGCAGCTGAGGCTTGAATTGGAAGGAGGGGGGTAGATAGTTGGTTATACTAACCCCCAACTTCTTGCCACTGCTTGGGGGAAGGGGGGGAAAGGAAGAGGGATTTGGGGAAAAAAATTCAGGGATATCATCATGTTTTTCCTCAATTCAAGCTATGTATCTGTCCACAACTGTTGCTCTCAGGAGCCATTCTGTCAGCTTTATAAAAAGGTCTAAAGTCAGTACATCATCAGAAATGTAAGTATTCCTTTGTGTGTAAGGTCAGGTCTACCCTACAGTTTTCTGCTGGTGTAGCTATGTTAGTTCGGAGTATGCAGACCTGTGATCTCTGACCCACAGAGCTGTTTAGAAGATGTCCCTAGTGCAGGTGCAATGTAGCAGTTACCACTTAGGCTTTAGACACCTGCGTTTTAGACACTCAGTTTATATCTTAGCAGGGTTCTTCCTTAGATCATCATGGTAAACCACAAAATTTATGCTTGTCTGGTTTGTGATGTCATCAAACTATTGAGGTTACGTGTGTATAAAGTCTTAGTCATAGTTTGCTTTTGTGTTTTATGCATTTTAAGGACACCACATGGAAACATTTTAATAACAAAAATGTTGTTTATAGAAAATGTATGCAAAAGGTTTCTCTGCTCTAGAGCTGATGAAAATATACTTAGAATGGTTCTTTGTGTTAAAGTAAAATAACATTTTTTTTTTTTTTTAGATTTTGCTTAAAACTTAGTTTGCTTTCAAGCCAGATATGAATAGTTTATTGCTTGAGAGACCTATGAAGTCAGCAATAATTCAGCTAATTATCTTATAGATTATTTATGAAGGTGTGCATCATCCCTGCACTTGCATGTGGAGCTCCCATGGACAAGTTTAATTTGAAACAAAAGGTTGGATATGAGAAATTTTCCATGAAAGGGTGATTTACAAAAAAACCCTGTTTTGGGAGAACTGAAAGGGAATTTTTTTGAAAATGTCTGGTCATGGTTTCCCATTAGCTCAGCAGATGGGCTGTCAAAGAGCTGTGAGCCTGAAAGCCCAGAGAATCCCAGTTTAGCATGCTGCCAAGGAGTTTAGGAGGCTAGTAAGCTGGCAGGAAATAAGGGAGATTTCCATCTAAATTTAATAAAAATCAACACCTTTCTGTTGAACATTTCAATTTTGACAAATTGGGATTTTTGGGGAAAATGTTCTGTTGGGACATAATGGACCAGCTCTGTTTACATATATTTCATTAATTAAAACAAACCCAACGCTTACAAAAATAGGTCTTTCCAAACCACTATATAAAATCTTTCTTGCTATGCTCTGATGTGGTCCCATTATCAATTAGACGCTTGGTGACCATGACCTATCAGGTAAGTCTTTTATATTTATTCTGGGAGTGTGCCAGAATCTCATGGATCACTAGATGGAGCAAAGTCCAAAGGTATATAGCCACTTTTGAGAGTGCCCTGCTGCCAGGAACCAGTGGCGGATTAAGATTTCATGGGGCCCTGGGCCAGAGCAAATGGGGGGGCCCCTTCCCACCCCTTCTACCTGTGGTCCTGCCCCCCTTCTTCTTCTTCTGTCTGTGGCCCTGCCCACAGCCCAACCCCATTCAGTCCCTTCCCCCGCGATCCCACCCCTGTTCCACCCACAGTCCTGCCCCATTTTGGCCCCCCACTGCGGCCCCACAACCCATTTGCTCCTTTCTGCCCCCCGCACTATGGCCCCAAGATCAGAGAAGCTCTGTCCCTCCCGCCACAGATCTGGGGCCTCAGCGGGGAGTGAGAGTTACCCCTGCCCTAAGGCCATGGCAGGGAGGTTGGCCTCCAGTCCCGGGGTTGCAGCGGGAGTCCAGACACTGGGGCTTTCCCTGCTGCCCCACGCTTCTGCCAGGGAGCGGGGTCGGGTGTGGGGGCTTCCCCCACCCCACCCACCTGGGCACTTCTGTGGTGGATTTCTGCTGGGGGCAGGGTGCCCATTTTTTCAGGGCCCACAATTGGCCGGGCCCCTGGGGACGGGCCCCATCAGCCCATTGGATAATCTGCCACTGACAGGAACCAATAATATCAGCATCTCAGCAGATCATAGTCACTGTGAAAGGACAGAGGAAGAGATACAGTCTCTCAAATAACTAGTTAGGACTGAAGAGCTGGCAACTAACACGTTGAACTGCACACAATAGCCTGTGTGTAGCATTGAGCACTGGAGTTATCAGATCAAAATGACTTACCCTATTCGACAAGCAAATCACAGCACGCTGTACTTGCTGAAACTTCCAAGTGCTTTTCAACAGTAGCCCCAGTATAGTATGTTGCACTGTTCTGGACTGTTTAGAAAGATATTGTTAACTGTGGCAAGGATCATAACAGCAAGAAATGGTCTCAGATTTTGAGCCAAAGCATTATATATAATTGCTTTCATCTGGAATTCCAAGAGTGGCAATAAACTCAAGATGGTAAGCCATATTGGTGAAATCAGACATAACAGCTTCAATAAATGGCATAGTCACAATTATGGCCCATTCCTCTAAATGTTTTCTATCTGCATATCAGCATCATTCTGTCTCATCTTGGTTGGATATAAACTAGTTTGATCCTGTGTGCATCTCCTCTATCAAACTCTTAGTAAGCAAAGACTATGGTATCCGTGTTGGATGAAAAGAAGATGTAGATCTGAGTGTCTTCTGCATGTTGATGACACTGTAGGACAAAACATCTCACAATCTCCTCGTGCTGCCAAATGTCTACATTGAACCTGAGAGGAGATAAAATGGAATGCTGGAGGACTCCATATGAGAGCCCCTTGGGAAAGAAAAAGTGTTTTTGCCACCTTTTGGGATCTTTCAGAAGAAAGAACGAATTGTCTGTACAGATCTATCTAAACATTTGGTCAATAGAATCAAAGGTTGATGAAAAGCCTAACTAAATCATCTCTCTTCGTTGTTTGAAGGAGATAGATGGTATTGTTATCCTTGGGTGACTATCAAAAACTAGAGTTGCAGGGATTGAAGAAAGAGGGAAATTATTGATTTATGGTAATCACTAAGGCTGTTAACATCAAAACAGTCTCTTGAGTGTGAGGCACTTAGTACTGCTTGTTAAAGGGTGGCTGGCAACCTTTCATCTTGAAAGGAGGCATTAGCAAGTGTCACTAATAATGGGTTTTAAAGCTCCTTGTTGATGCTGGGATGCATCTCCCCTAAAATACCTCAGATACATACCTTAGACCATGTCCACACTAGAGACCTTACAGCGGCACTGCTGTACCAATGCAGCTGCGCCACTGTAAGATCTCCTGTGTAGCCGCTCTATATCAATGGGAGAGCATCTTCTGCAGACATAGTGTGTCCACACAAGCACTTCTCTTGGTGTACTTATGTCACTTGGGGGATATTTTTTTTCACACCCCATAGTAACATAAGTTATACCAACAAAACTGCTAGTGTAGACATAGCCTTAGTAAAATTGTTGACTGTAGTTTGCATAATGCAAACATAAACTCTCCGGAAATGAAAATGAATCTTCTTGGTAGTGGCTGGGGGACTTGTATTTAATCAGAGCTAAATCTACATCATACAGCTGATATTAGTTAAATATGAAGAGTGTTTGGGCATGCAAGGGAGGGAAAGAATGGCTTGCACTGCTCTCCAGTGATGATGCCTTCCAATTCATTTGTGGCAGTGAGGGCTTCTGGGACTATCTATAACTGGCCTTCCTCACCTGGAAGGGTGGTCTGCCAGACTGGGGTTAAAGATCAAGTTGTTAAGGCTGTACTCAGCAGACCAAATGAAGAGAAGTAAACATGTATTTTGTCTATGTTTTTTGTTCTTTTTTTTTCATAACTTCTCTTGAAAGTTACATGCTCAGCTTTTCAAGTTGCTTATGACATTTCACGACTCATGAGTATCTCTCATTAGTGGAGCAAAGTAAAATAGTGTGTGAAAGACAAAACAGTGTTCTCCTCAGTCAGGACTTTGGGGGTTTGTCTGCTAAGCAACACCAAGAGAGTACTGAATATTTAGGAGTTTTCTAAACATCATAGGGTGTATCATCCCCAGGTACAGGAAAACCCCAAGAATGTGAACCTTCAGAGTTTACCTCATAAAGTTCCTTTCTCATTGTCCCTATAGTATATCAGAAATGTTTCATAGGCCTGTCAAGATCAAGTGGCAGGAGGAGATGAAACTACACAGATTTTCTTAGAATTACGTGGTTGTGAGACCCCTTTGTGTTATACCTCATGCCCCCTTTCACTTCTGGCAGTACAGTAACTCCTCAGTTAAAGTCATCCTGGTTAACGTTGTTTCGTTGTTATGTTGCTGATCAATTAGAGAACATGCTCGTTTAAAGTTGCGCAATGCTCCCTTATAACATCGTTTGGCAGCTGCCTGCTTTGTCCACTGCTTGCAGGAAGAGCAGCCCGTTGGAGCTAGTTGGTGGGGGCTTGGAACCAGGGTGGACTGGCAGCCCCCCATCAGCTCCCCACTCCCCTAAGTTCCCTGTGTGGCAGCCACCCAGCAGCCTATCAATTGCCGGCAGTTCAACTGTCCTGCCCCGCACTACCGTGTGCTGCTCCTGCCCTCTGCCTTGGAGCTGCTCCCGGGAG